GGTGATTCTTGTGATCGAATTGAGCTGTATAAGCAAACTCATTTTACAGGGAAAATGGGCTGGTCATCTAACCTGGCAGAAAAAAATTGGGTAATTTATGTGTTTGTCTCTCTTATTTTATCAAACTTATTTTCTATTCCTTGTTTTATTCACGACTAATCTTTTATATTAGAAGAAGTAATGTTATTTTATGTCATTAATTTATCCAATTAGGAGTTGATGAAAAAGAATCAAGAACAATATAAAGAGGGAAGTTGTGATAAGAGCACAAATGATATAGTTCTTGAGGCACTTGATCATGGATCTGGATACATTAAAGGCCTTGGGTATGGTCCTAAACCTCCAAGCAGACGCAACGGTGCAAATCACTTCCAAACTCGGCACCTTCAAAAAGAGCTTCAACAGACACTCCAAAGATTACAAATTTTTGAAACACAAGTTGATGGCCTCAAAATTCAAGCGAAAGATGCTAAAAAAGAAGTGGTTGACTTGAGAAACCAGTTAGCTCAACAAGCTTCAAAAATGGAGAAGATCATGACATTTATGGCTATCCAAGAAATGAATTTATAATCTTTACTTTTAATTTCTTATTCTAATATAGTTGGAAAGTAAGTTATGGTTTCCATATAGGATTAGAATGCTCTTAAACTATTTAGCTAGCCAATTTTTTATTGGTCCCATACCTCACCATTTACAGTACAAAATCTTGTATTGTTTTTATTGTTTTGACATTTAAGTACCACTTATGATTTATTTTTTTAATTAACATTTATCAATAAAGACGTTTTATTTGTAAGCAACTAAACATTTGATAAAATGATTTGCCATATTGCAATGATTTGTCACCATAATAATAACATATATATTTCTTAGGGAAAATGAAAAATTAATAATCCAACCTTTTACCGGTCTTCTTTTAATAGTCCGACCTTTTCGTTATTCATGAATAATCCAACCTTTGCACCTCATCTTCATTCATTGGTCCCCGATCGGTTGATGACCTGCTATTCCGAGTTATTTTCTTATCTCTGCAAACTATTATACCATAAATTCCACCTTTCACAAAGATAATATTTTGCAAAGATAAGAAAATCACTTGGAATAGCAGGTCATCAACAGGTCAGGGACCAGTGAATGAAGATGAGGTGCAAAGGTTGGATTATTCATGAATAACGAAAAGGTGGGACTATTAAAAGAAGACCGCTAAAAGGTTGGATTATTAGTTTCCATTTTCCCTATTTCTTAAAAATAGTCATTTGGGACAAATGATTTGTCATCATGCCATATTGCCATAATTACAAATATTTATATTTGTCATCATACATTCCTAAATCATAACTAATGACAATTAATTTTGTCATTATACATTCCTAACTCATAAAAGATGATAGATTAGTTTTGTCATTGTACCTATTTAACAACATTTATAGAGAATGTTACAAAAAATAAGTGTCATTAAAAATGAATCGTCCGAAAAAAGTTGCAACTAAATCATGTTAATTAATGATGATTATTTAATACTATGACGAAATAAGTTGTTATATCTTTGGGACAATAACCTAGGTTGTTAATAAATTTAGGTTCACTTCATATCTCTTGAAAACCTGTCAAAATAAAAAATCGAAGAACCTCCAAATTGGAAGGCTTTGGAGGTTATGTTTTTGCTTAAGAAAAGGGGTTTGTCCTCAAATAAGGGTCTGTTTGCAACAGTTTCTGCTTTTACTTCTTTTTGTTAAAATAAGTAAAAGCACTTTTGAGGCGGAAGCCGAGAAAAATAAAAATTGTAGTGTTTGGGAAAATAAGTGCTTTTTAAAAGCTAGAAGCTGAAAAGTGCTTTTTTAAAAGCAGTTGCAAACCAACCCTAATACTAATTAAAAGTATTTGGACAAAAAAAGAGACTTTTCTTTTAAATTCCGAAAATAAGACTAAATAATACTTAAGGGACCGTCACACCTTTACTAAGCCCAAACCCATTGGCCTGCTATAGTAACCCGCCACAGTGACCAAATGTGCAGTGACCAATGTTACAGTTACCAATGACATAGTTACAAAATCTGCCAGTGACCAAAATCCATCAATGACCAAAATTCGTCAGTGACAAAAAATCCACCAGTGACCAAAATCCATCAATGACCAAAAACCGCCAGTGACCAAAAATTAAATATCAGTCCGTTACAACTGCCCATTTACCACCCGGGTAGTGACCACCCGGCTCATCCAATTACAATTACCTGATCCATCCAGTTACAGTTACCCGACCCATTCAATTACAGTTACACTAACCGCAATTACAGTTACTCGATCCCGTCCCCAGTTACAATAACCCGATTAGTCCTGTTACAGTTCCCCGACCCGTCCAGTTACAGTCACCCGACCCTTCTAATTACAGTTACCCGATTCGTCCAATTACAATTACCCGACCCCCAGTTACAGTTACTCGATCTGTCCAGTTATAGTTACTCGGCTCATAAATTACAGTTACAGAGTTACCCGACCTAACCAATTACAATTACTCAATCCGCCCAATTACAGTTACCCGATTCATCCAGTCACAATTACCCGACCCCCAGTTACAGTTACTCGATCCGTCCAGTTATAGTTACCCGATTCATTCAATTACAGTTACTCGACTCCCCTGTTACAGTTACTCGATCCATCTAGTTACAGTTACCCGATCTGTCCATGTTACAGTTACCCGACCAGTTGCATTTACCCGATCCGTTTAGTTATCGTTACCTACCCGTCCGATTATAACTACAGTTACATAACCTGTCCAGTTACCGTTACCAACCCGCTTACCAACTCGTCCAATTACCCATAAACCACCGCTGGCCACCGCCACCGCCCACCACACCCCATCCCAATGCCTCACTCAGCCCTCTCCTGGTCACCCTACACACCCCCCCGCATCACCCATCCCCCCAGCCCCCCTGCCTCACCACCGCCCTCTGCCCCTCCGGCACCACCACGCCTGCCCCTCCTACTGCTCTGCCCTCATCACCAACCCCCCTAGGCCACGGCTGTCGTTGACCGCGAAAACCTAGCCACGAAACCCAACAACCGCATAACTCTGGATGCGGCCGTCGATAACCCGGGAACCCTCGTTGCCGACGTCTAGAGTCCTCATCGCCATTATTGCTTTCAAATCGCATTCGTCGATTCCACCATCAAATTCTTCACCTGCAGTCCTTGATTCCGCCATCGCCTCCATCGACTTGAGATGGAAAATGGAGAAGGAGAAGAGTAAAAGGCGGCGGCGGCCTGGATGAGGAGGAGGAGGAGGAGGCGGCGACCTGGACGCAGAGGAGGTAATCGTCGATCTGATCTCCACCTAGGTAATTGCGAAGTGAGTTTGTTGCACCTCCGGTGGTGAAGCAACAGAAGAGATGGGCGGCCTGAAGAAATTTGGATCTAGCAGTTTGGTGCGGGGCTGGAGAAAACGAAAGAAGATGGATGGCCATTTAGGTTAGGGGGTATTTTAGACATTTTATACTATCTTTAGTCTCATATTTGTGCAAAATTAAAACGGGTCGTTCTTCTGTCCTTGGAAAGTGCACTGATCATACTTCCGCCATTTTTTCTTAAGAAAATCTCATTCATTCCAATAATAACCCTCCTCACGTTTCACTCATTTCCCCTTATTCACATGTTCCTTCTACCTATTATCCCTTTATTTACACGTTCATCTCCCACCACCTTTAAGCACCCCCCAACTTTATAGCAGCACCACAGACCAGTTTTTTTTTTTGTCTTTTCCTCTTCTACGCCTCCCCCGGCCCCCCTCTTATCCTTTATTCTTCTTCCTCTTCTTCTCGGTTGTAGTCTATGCTGTAACACACATTTTTTATTTGTCAAGTGCACAATTTTTTGATATTTATTATCCTAAATAAGATCATTATGGCTTAGCCGAACCGATACTTCACTATAACTGCGTATTCAATTGTTGTTGCAGTCTCAATCACAAATTCAAGATCCATGCTTTTACTTGTTAATCGTGTGGAATATTAACAATATTCATACACTTATATTATACATACGAAGGGTACAAATGTCATTAACGAGTTAGATCACTTGCATCCAAATAACAATTTATTACATCAATCCAGGTTCACCTAACTTGTTTATAAATGACATTTTACATATGCACCTAGATTTACTTAGGTTCACCTAGTTTTTATTAAAGACAAAGTTTACTTTGTTATACTAGGTTTACTTAAATCCACCCTACCCTAAGACATCATTAATAGAACATACACTATACCCCGTAATATACATATTACTATGTAGAAAAAAGTATAAGGATGTTTTCTTTTAAACTGAAAATTGCTGATTTGGTCTGATATGAATTAGTCTGATTTGGTAAATGTTTGCTTCTGTTTAAAAAAAAGCAGAACCAGTTTAAAAAATTTCCTTAATCTAATTTGGTCTAGTTTATTTAAGTATGATTTGATGTGGTGCGACTAAAACTATTAGGGGAATTTTATTTTGCACTCCACTTTTTGGGTGATACTGGACTTTTGCACCCCACTGTGAAAAACCTTTTATTTTGCACCCCATTCCACTTAATATTCCTTTGACTTTGCACCACATTTAGAAAAATTTCTTCACAAAATGGTATGTGTTGGGGTGCAAGTTTAAAAAATGAGATGCAAGATGTAGGGTTGGTTTGCAACTGCTTTTAAAAAAGCACTTCTCAGCTTTTGGCTTTAAATAAACACTTATTTTCCCAAACACTACAACTTTTATTTTTCTTGGCTTCCGCGTCAAAAGTGCTTTTACTTTTTCTATTACACAAAAAGCACTTATTTTATCACACACTACCCACTTTTACTTTTCAAAATCACTTTTTTCTCAAACACTATCAACTTTTATTTATTCACTTCTCCCTGTTTCATTTAAAAAAGCATTTTTTTAAAAGCAGAAGTTGTTACAAACACACCCGTAATATTATCAAAAAAAAAAGTAGGGTGCAAATCAAGTTCTCCAACACTATTCGAAAGAAAACATCAACACAAAAGAGAATCCACCTTCAACCCCAACCCCTGATCGAAATAAAACGTGAATCTCCTCTTGTTTTTTGTTTTTTTTTTCCTTAACCAAGTGATAGACAAGCGGCGACCTGCTGAACACTTGACCAGCAACAGAACGACGGAGCTACAAAAGGAGCTGGGTGAACAACGAACAGTTTATTACGGAAAAACCTGCCACGATATGCGACTCGGCCGTCCCCGAGCAACCTTCGAGCCTTCTACCTTCAACGTCTTCATCTAAAAGTGAGTTTTTCTTGTAATTATGATTTACATAATTGATTTTGTATTTGTTAAATTTGAGTTTGAATATGTAATTACTGACCTTAATTCTTTATCCATGTTCATCGGATACCATGTATGTGTGTGAATTCCTATGGCTTACATGCCAAATTGGCATCAAACTTTCAATTCGTCGCACATTACACTTTTTTTAGCATGATATAGTGATATACAATCAATTAAATCTCCAGATATGGTGCAGATCCGGCATGTGAGCCTTTTCATAAATACACATTTACACACCGTGGGGAATCATAGGATACGGGTACAAGGTATATTTATTATAAATAAGGGAAAAGGTACATATATACCCCTGTAGTATAGGTGTAGGAACAAATATACCCCTGTTCTATTTTTCGGAACAAATATACCCCTGAACTTTTAAAAAAGTGCAAAAATATCCCTCATGTTTTTATAAAGGAGCAAATTAATCCTTAATGACTTTACATCAATAAAATAAATTTCAAAAATGACCAAAAATAAATTAAAAAATCGAAATTAAAAAACAAAACATTTTAAAAATGTAATTGTATCCAATTCTCCCTTTATTATTTTTATATCACAATTTATTATTTTTAGTATAAAATATTATTTCAAAATATGTAATTTTATAGTGCAAAGAATGCAAAAAATAATAATTTTTCTTTACATTGCGAAACATATGTTAGCACCTTTTCGAAAGAATCTTAAACATATAGTAAAATTTTGAAATAATATTTCATGTTTAAACAATATTAAATTGTGATATAAAAACTATAAAAGGGAGAATTGGACACCATTACATTTTTAAAATTTTTTGTTTTTTTATTTCGAATTTCGAATTTATATTTGGTGTTTTTTTAAATTTATTTTATTAATTTAAAGTCAATAAGGATTAAGTTGCCCCTTTATAAGAACATGAGGGATATTTTTGCACATTTTTAAAAGTTCAGGGGTATGTTTGTTCCAAAAAAAGAATAGGGGTATATCTGTTCCAACACCCATACTACAAGGGTACATTTGTTCCTTTTCCCTATAAATAATAAGAATATAGGCTATAATTTGCAAATATAAATAATCCAGAGGTTCAGAAATAAAATAATTGTAGTACCAAAAGTTAATAATTGAATTATAATAAAAAACATATCAAGCGATTGACTTACGGGTGAAGTGAATTGAAACTTAATAATTGTATGAGAGAAGAAGATAGGTTACTAGTTACTAATTTACGCGATAAGAAATGCAGTTGAAGAAAGAATAAGGATTGAGAAGTTGTGGTGAGTAAGAGATGCGGTCAAAGAACGGGGAATAAGAATTTGTGGTCGCTAGATTGCGAGGTCGGGTACTCGACTACTCTATTCTCGTATTTTAAATTGTCCTTACATGCGCGTATTCGTCTACGGATACGTGTGTCGGAAGTATTTATAATTTTATAATTAAGTCCAATTCTTTTATTAAATTACGGATACAGACCCACATGACGTGACGTGTATCGGCAAGTATGGGTATCGTATACGCGGATACGACGTCGTACTGAAGTATCAATGCATCATAGTTCACACAATAGTTCACACACTGGCAAGGGCAGTCACGCATACTATACATGTTTAATATAGTTGGAGCTAAAATGCCAAATGAGAAACTAGAAAACACTCTAACTTGAAATTGAAAAATCTGAATTGGTTCATAAATAATGAAAGCAAAGTCGATCAGAAATTGGAAACGAGTTGTATGTTTGTTTGATTTGAGTGGTTCGAGTCGATTGGATCATAAATAATGAAGGCAAAGCCTAAATTTGTAGAATTTCATATTAAGGACAATATTAAAATAAACAAAATAAAAGCAAATTTGCCAATATAATAACGACATAAACATATCTTTTATCTAATACTCCTTCCATCCCTTAAAACTTGGCTAAATTTGACTGGCACAGAGATTAATAAAGTAAAAAGAGTGTGGTTGAGGTTTGTGCAGAAGAGACAGAATTAACTGAATTAACTGTAACCACACATTCTTTACTTAAAAGGGAAAGTGACAAGTTAGTGGGACAACTAAAAAAAGAAATTGGGCAAAGTTGTAAGAGACGGAGGGAGTAATAATAAATATTACTTTATATCCTGATTAAAATGAGACTACCGCAGTCCAAAATGTCTTTCACTTTCCTTTTCAAATGTTCCAAACTTGTTTTTGTGTGGTGCTGTTTTTAACCTTTATCATCAAAATACATCGTCACAATTTTACCTTTTTAATAAGCGTGTCAAATCAAACCCAAAAGAAAATTAGGAAGAATGGACCAACAATTAGTATCACATCCTCCTTTCGTCACTTAAAACTTTTCCATCTTTCATTTTTGGAATGTTCCGAAAACTTTATGATTTTCCCTTTTAATCAATTAATTTGTGGATCTGGTTATTTCTTTCTCTTTTGCACAAACCTCAACCACAAAGTTTTTACTTTATTGTTCTTTGTGAAGGTTAAATGTGGCCAAGTTGTAAGGGACGGAGGGAGTATATAATTATATGTTGTATACTAAAACTTTCTTATTTAGTGTCACATTTATTAAAGGTTTCAATAATGTCATTGTGTGGGAGGGAAAATAATTTATTTTGTTTCCTACCATAAAATCTTTATATATACATCATCGTCATCATTACCCTAGTGCCGCAAAGGCTCCCACCTACGGTGGGTAAGGGGAGTGTCGGATGTACGCAACCTTACTCCTGTACTAAAGCATATAGAGACTGTTTCCGGATGACCCATGGTGAAAATCGCGTCGAAAACTGCATGGACTGACCGCTGCTTCATAACAAAGAAGCGCGGATAGTTAAGTGAGCCATTTTGCTTTATTCCATCATATTCCCAAGCAAAAAAATAGTGAATCTTTGGCTCCATTGTAAATGATGGAAATAAAATATTTATATATACAAATTTGTTAAATCCAAGTTTTCTGTTATTGATTTCAAACCTTCAACACATTCAAAGGAATCAAAGATCAATCAAAATTATTACGGCAATATGTATAGAAGAGTCCAGAGAAATCAAGAGAACCGTTACATAAGCTTTAGAATATATTTAAATTGTCAGTTACAAAATCATTGTATTTAATATATCATTAGTAGGCTACCTTATTAGTCTCTTGACTATTGTATAAATAGCATATGAATTCATGGAATGAATTAAGCTTTCAGCCTCAATTTATCCCTATTCTAAAATCTAATATGGTATCAGAGCCACTAGAGCTCTAATCAGCCAGTTTAACCAAACCCATCCTCCAGATTTTTTGCATCTGCCATGACCACCGAAGAGAACAGAGAAGATTCTCAGGGTAAATCAAACCCACCCTTCTCAGCCAATAACCCCCTAACCCCAGATGGCCTTGTCATGCTCAGCCCCAGTCAATTCCCAGAAAAATTAGATGGAACAAATTACCTTGTGTGGAGAGACCAAGTGCTGGACCTTCTCTTCGGTTCTCACCTGGATCAGTACATTGATGAGAACACTAACCCCCCTCCAAAAAGTGAAGCGGACAGTCTTCTCCGATGGAATAGACAGGACCGCCTGTTACGGCATGCCCTGGTTTCCTCTCTCAGTTCAGCTTGCAAGCCCCTGGTTGGATCTTCCAAAACCTCTGCCTCTGTCTGGAAGACCCTGGAGCGTCTTTACGGGACTCGGTCAGCCTCCAAAATTCGGAGTCTCAAAGACCAGTTCCGTCATATGAAACAAGGGTCTCAACCTGTCAGTGAATACCTTCATCATCTTCGCACCCTAGCGGATGAACTTGCCATGGCCGGCAGACCAGTTGATGAAGAGGACTTCGCTCTTCAAGCTTTGGAAGGTCTTCGTCCCGAGTTTGCAGCAATAGAAAATTCCATCCGCCCAGACGAGGTCACGTTTGAAGACTTACACTCGCTCCTAGTCCAATTCGAAGAAAAGATGCGCAGGAAAGAGCTCCTGACTACGACTGCAGTTGTAACCGTAAACGCAGCAACTGTGGAAGAAAAGAACGAAGGGAGCAGTTCCGCAGCTATGATGGTTCGCAGAAGTCCAGATACGGGTGCATCTATTTTAGGACCAGCCCCGTTAGCCCAAGTTCAGAATTTTCCCAACAGGCCCAATAATCAGTCTCGGAATTTTGGCAGAAATCACAATAGGAGTTAACACTCCAACAATTTCTACAATTCTAATCGCCGCGGAAGCAGTAATTCCGGGGGTATAAATAATCACATGAGTGGGCGTACTAATTTTGGGGTTAATAACAGATCAAATTCTGTTGTTATATGCCAAATCTGTGGCAAACCGAACCATCTTGCTATTAACTGTTGGCACAGGTTTGAACAACAAAGTTATCCCCCTCAAGCCAATACTGTTACGACTAGGAAAAATGGATGGTTACTCGACTCGGGGGCAACTAATCATGTCACCAATAATTTGAATAACCTCACCTTGGCGTCCGATTACACCGGCACAGACTCCTTAATTATTGGTAACGGTAAAAGTCTTGAGATTGCACAAATTGGAAATATGACCCTTCATTCTCTATCCCTACCTAATACTCTTTTTGTCCCTTCTATTCATACTAATTTAATTTCAGTTGCTAAACTATGTCGTGATAATGATGTACTAATCGAATTTCACCCTTCTTTTTGTCTTGTTAAGGACCGGAAAACGGGAGCAATTTTGTTGCGGGGTATGAATAGCGGTGACGTCTACAGCTTGCATGATGTGCCAGTTCCTTCATCTCCAAGCGTTAATATTACTACAAAGTTTTCTCTAAATAAATGGCATTGTCGTTTAGGCCATCCTGCCCTTCCCATTACTCAAAAAATTATTTCCTCGTTAGGTATTAATTTTAAAGATGTTAGTAAGGATCTCTCTCTATGCACTTCATGTGCGAGTAATAAAAGTCACAGGTTACCTTTTGCGAAATCTTCTCTTTCTAGTTCTGGTCCTCTTGACTTAATTTATACAGATGTTTGGGGTCCCTC